TCGTCTTAGTTAACATTTCGCGAGACAACATTAGAAAGCTGTTAATACGCAATAGATTGTACGATAAAACTTGTATCACAAGAGATTGCGTTGTGTGCCCATACGGACAATTCGGAGACTGTGCGAAATCTGGTGTTGTGTATCAAATCGAATGTGCGAAATGCTCTGCCATATATATCGGTGAAACTGGGCGGCCAGTGGGTGTGAGCATCAACGAACATCTAGCTAGCAGAGGCAAAGCTTGATTAGTCCACTGGGAAAGCATGGAATGATCGAACATAACGGTGTTGATTACGATGTCAGGTGCAAAATCTTGGCCCACGAACACCAAATTCCTGCACGAAAAGCCTTGGAAGGCTCCTATGTTCTTGCTCGCGAGCCCAAACTGAATAGCAAGAATAAGAAATCATCTATAACTAGTTTGATGCCGTATCTGTCGTACTGTAAACTATAAGATTGTGTGCCCTACTTAAGCAGCCTCACAGTAGCTTGGGTACTCATTTGACACCGCACTCGCCAAGCACATCCGGAGCGGCTGTTAGCTACAACATCGGTGATATACTTGATGGGTGACCATCGCCCCCAAAATCCCTGTGTCCACTCAAGACGAATCGAGTGGCAAGTCGGCGGAGATATTTGGCGGCAGAGATCGTGTATCAATGTGATCGACGCCTTTTCAGCCCCTGAAGACGGCGTCTTGCCGAAACGTCGGGCAATAAAGTATATCATCTATAACAACCTGTACGGCATAATATAATAAGTAAAATTATTCACCTGCAAGAACATGCCAAGGTTCAAAGACAAGAGGACTTACAACATAAACAAAAAAGTTTTTTTCAAAATTTTCGTTTCTGACAAACCATAACTCTTCCAAAGTTTGTCACTATGATTGAAGTGTAGGCTATCCTGTAGCCGCAGCCATAAAGTCTGGGAAATTTTGAAAAACTGTCAACAGAATGCCTTATCTTTACGCTCAGAAAATGAGCAACTGGGCTATTGCCTCTATGTGGAAAGGGGCTATAGAATAACCAACACCTCTAGCCATTTTGAGGCATTGATAACTCAGTTTAGAAAATTTAATCAAGGCTAAATGTGTGTAATGTAGGCAGCTTCTATTACCCACAGTCGCTGGAATCAAGAAAGCGACATGGTTTACGTTTGAACTCTGGCCAAAAAAAGTGAACGCGAAGAAACTTTGTTTTTGAGTGAGGTCACTGAATCTCTGTAGATTTTCAACACTCCAAACTGAAAGCCCATTTTAAAATTGGCTAAAGAAAACATAAAAAGAGCTTTTCGGTAGTAAACTAAGTCTGTTTCCGAGTAGGAGGTTGGGAAAAATGTCTTGAAAGAAATGGAAGAACGCTCTTAAATTTTTGCATCAGTTTAATATATGGTAAAATTCTAAGAATATATCGTGATTACTCGAGACTGGAAGACTTTCTTGAATGTCTTTTCTTTTTTTGTTTCACGCTGCTTTCATTAAAATAAATATTAGGTCATTCCGAAAGTAATTTCGCTTTTTTCAAACGGGCGCCACATTTGATAGAACAAAGGTTTATAAGGGATCTTGGAGGCATTCGATGCAGAATTTCATTCTCTTTCTAATGGTTATGAAACTGTTGCAAAACAATCAATGAGCTTTCAGAAAATAACAAAAATCTGCGACCCATGCTTTTTGAGATGGTCAAGTTTCATGGTTTTTTGAACCTTTCATATCAATCCTCAGAAGGAGTTCAAGTAACGATTCGATAGAGTAATCCCTATAGAACACAGAACTACTTTAGGTCGCCGTAATTTCTTAAGAGATTTTTTAACAGAACCATCGGATTTTGGCAGGCCCACTTCAACCACAATCGCATCAAACATCATAATTTTTCGGAATTTGAGACTACCAAGATGGTACTGCGAGTTAGCATTAATTTTACAAAGCACGTGAGGGTTTACGGGTTCGAAGTATCAAATTTCGAGTTTTTCGGGTACAGCCTGGGGCTCGCTAAAAAAGCGAGTTATGATGATTTTGTCCCCAGAAACTGAATGAATCGGAAACAAAGAACACTGTTAGAAAGAGGAGAAAATGCTGCATCGAATAGTGCGCGAGCTGCTTTTCTTTTGCTGTTCTACGAGGATTTAGCTGCTCAAGTATGGAAATCGGTAGCATCAGTTAAAATTCTGTTAAAAATGTATAACAAACTATGGAAAAGAGATAAAAGTTGCTCTGTATTCTATGAGGTTTGCTTTATCGAAACGTCACTTGAACTTCTTCTGATAATTGATATGAAATTTTTAAAAAATTGTGAAACTTGACTATCTCAAAAAGCATAGGTGGCAGATTTTGGTTATTTTCTGAAAGCTCATTGATTGTTCTGCAACAGTTTCATAACCTTTAGAAAGAGAATGAAATTTTGCATCGAATGCTTTCAAGATCTCTTAGAAAGCTTTATTCCTTCAAATATGGCGCCCGTTTGAAAAAAGCGAAATTACTTTCGGAATGACCTAATATTATAGAAAAATCATAGAAAATGCAGACATAAAATGCTTTACGTACGATAAATATACCACAGAACAAGTACATTGATTTACAAAGATATAAAAACATGAAGACTATCTTGAAATTCATTTTCTCATACATTTGAAAAATAGTTTGCTTCTATATTAGTAGGTTGGATTCAGAACTCCTTTTCTTAATCCTCTTGAGCACTTCTGCTCTAATCTATTCCATAAATTGCTTTGTTCTTGTTGCAGCTCGGTGATCTCTGCTCCCCTTCCGAGGGTGTTCGTCTGTTCTACGCTCTAGTTCCCAACCCCAAAGGACTTCCAGAGATACGGATGAGCTCAAAGTTCGTACCGGCGCGTCATGCCCTCAAATACACAAACATGAATACATACAAGTTTACTAAAATAACACACACAGTAAAAACCATATATAGAAAAGAACTTACCACGGAAGAGTTGAGCTCAACCCAGGTTACCGATGGACCACCAGCTCACTCAAACTCTCTTCCCTAGCACACTCTCACACACTCGCGACTTCCAAAAGAGCTGACCCACACGTCGACCGCGCGTGTCACCAAGGCAGTAGCGACGGCGCGGCTCACCTACCCCGTGATATTAATCAACAACTTCGAACCAAGCTCCTTACAGATCTTGCGCGTCCAAGCGCTTCCGAATGTTCATCGTCCGGAATTTACATCCTTGCGCGTTCATACCACTTCGTCGTCAATACACATACGCGCAGGGCATGGGGCGCAGGCACAACGCCGATGTCGTAAAATTCCAACTGATAGATAGTACAAGCAACACGAGCGATGATAGCGTTAAGAAGAAAGAAAGCCGCAATGGCGCGCGTGCGCTATTTATAGCCGTGGCTCGGGACATGCTACGTAGTGGTTTGGAAGCGAACAGGGTAGCCGACATAAAGCGTTGCTACCGTGCTCACGATAACTACGCGGCAACACGGTGCTCCCGGCCACATATTACGAGGAGATGTCGATTGTCTGTTGATTGCGAGCCGTAGTTCTTCTTTGATTTCTTTTTATCGGACTTCTGTTGTTCTTGTGCTCTACTGATCTCTTTACCGCTACATGTATGTAAACGAAATCTTTTCTTTCTGTTACTAACCACTTCCCTACCAAAGAATCTCGGGAGTTTTCAAATTTACAGGTTACTCTGTATAGGGGTAGAGGCGAAACAGGCTTATGGTAAAGAAAGATTTTTTGATAGCCGAGTGGATGGTTGGCAGATTGCTTATGAATGACCAGAAGGAGTGAAACTATAAGGTAATCCAAAAGGTAATGAGGTACCTTGATTTACAACTCTGAGGGTTTTATTCCTGATTAAGGATCAGCCACCATTAGAATGGCAAATGCGCCCCTGTGAAACAAATACGCCTTTGCCACCTTCATTTCACTATTTGCCTCTTTAATAAACCAACTGCGCAGCCTATTCGATTGAAGCACGTTTTCTTCCTCCAGAGATTCAACTCGTTTGCTATTTCGCACTCTAACAAAGAGGAGAGGAAAAGTTTTGAAACCAAAACGTTAATACATAGTAAAAGTTATGTAGGACGTAGACATAGACACGTTGTAGATCCCTGCAAAAGCATTACTTCAGCTTCCAAGAAGGTATTCCATCGTGCAACACTTTTGCTGCAACCTTTTATTCAAAGTTTTTTCTCTTAGGCATAAGTTGAATCAAATATTGGCTTATCTGTCTTCTGACAAAATCAACGCGAGTTAGTTGAAATTCTTTGATAGAAGAGAGGATGGGTTATCTTATATATATAGCTGAATGTCTGTTTGTATGTCAGTATGTCTGTCTGTATGTCTGTCTGTACGTATGTTCCGAATAGAAAATTCCATTTCTAAACCGATCGGGACCAAACTTGGCACACATACACTTCGGGACGGGGAGCGTGTCATAGGCTACTTTTCGTATCGATCGATATCAATTTTGTCGATTTTTTTTTTGCAAAATTTGAGCTAAAGGGCTGGGAGTTGGCACAGGGGGGTAATCAAGCATGCTGATTACAAATATATTATTGACGGGTCCGGGCGGAGCCGGGTTTGCCAACTAGTTTAACAATAAACTTTGAGAAGAGTATTTAGCACGCCTTTTTTAAATCACAGTCATTATGTGGCATGGATGATCTCAATTCGCTAAAAACTTCAACACTCGCATGGCTTTATTACCAAAGACGACGCCCCTATTTTGTTTTGTAGACAGTTATTAAAAAAATATGGTTCATCGAAGTTTTACAAGTGAGCTCAGTTTAGGCAAGAAGAAAGCCTTGTCCTTTGCAATATCTAGACAAAATTAGCAATCCTGTTAATCAGTCGTGTTCATCTCATGTGTGTTTTCAAGCCAACCTTAGCACTGTTAATTCTGCTTAAATGAGATGATTCTTTTTCCTCCTACTTAACTGTAGCTCTCATTTGTGAAATATCAGTTCTCATGCAAAAAATCTTAAATAACACACAGTTATTTATTTTTGACTGGACCAAGATCACAAACAATGTTCTCTTTTAGCAGCTCTATGGGAAGCATGTGCATTCGCAGGAGCAGTCGAGTTCTTTCTTTTTTTCTTTTACTTCGCAGGAGCAGTCCTTCTTTCCTTTACAGTCTCCTCCTCCGTAACCCTGAAAATAGAAACAATGGTGGCTAAAGCACCTTAAATAGCATGAAGTAAAATTTATCTATACTCTCTACGGATGAGCGAAGAATGTGCCTCGTTTGGTAAATAATGTGTTTCTTTAACTTGCTTCTGTTTCTCAAAAATCCTGCTAAAGAGGTCGCTGTAATTCAATCTGTTTTATGAGGCAGACGAGGTGACTCTTGAGGTTTTGCGAAGTTGTTCATGACGTGATCTTTTACAGCTTTTTGGAAGAACTGCAGTAAGGAGTTTAGTGCTTGAAAGTGGATTTGGTTCTGACAACTCTTCAGCAAGCACCACTTTTAGGAGAAGGAGTCAAGTTGACTGAAAGTTAGGAGTTTTTGGAATAGGAACCTGATGCTGGTAACCGCAACGTTTGAAGTGCCAACAGTCTAAGGCTGAATAAGGTAGACTCGCAAAATTGTATAGAAGGATCAAATTGAAAAATTCTTTGCTCTTTATCAAACATGATTCCCTTATTCAGCGACATACTATAGACACTTCTAATTGTGATCAGGTGTTCACTGCTCAACAAGCAAAATGTAGAGTCAATAGCCTGTGGCAGAGTAAGTTACATGAATTTGAAATGAGTACAAAAACATATTGTAATCTCCTACTAATTGCTAATTCACTTTCGAGCCACGGGCTCTCGATCTTTGTGATTGTGATCATCTGTTATTCAGTGAATGTCAAAAGTTCCAAGTGGGGAAATTAGAAATTTTGTACAGTGTAAACACGCTAAAGAAAATTTGTTGCTGTATATCCAGTTTGAATAAAAATTACCTTCAGTTGACAAGAATACTTGCACTTGGCCCTCGCCTTAACAAGCCCGTCAGCGCCGCATATACTTCCTGCTTCAATGCTAGCAATCAGGCAAGATAGAATTATCGAAAGAAGCATGTAATTTATTAGCTTCATGTTCTGAAATTTGTGGACTTTTCTTAACTGTCTCCCAATATACTGACTGAGCTTTTGACAAACTAGCCTATTCAATTGCTCTGAAGGCAATTGCAAGTTTGTCAATTCAAAAAAGACGTACATGTAGACGATCTTAATAATGTATCATAGATACCGCAGCGTGGTTTAGTTGGTATCTCAGAAAGCTCGGTCCAAGGAAATTCGCATGTGAATAGGTTTGAAAAGTTTAAGTAGATCAAGCTGACCACAGATGCACGATTCCAAGACCCATGAAGTAGAAAAGTACACAATGCCCTTCCCTCTCATTAAGTCACAACTAGCCTCTTTGAAGTAAATGATTCTTTATAGAGGGGACATTATTTTTTGTTAGAATGTAAGTTTCTTAACGAATCTACTCAAATACCCATCATTCTAGAAGAACATCATAATTGGCGTAAAAAGAGACGAATAACAATACTTTAACGTTTCGCTGAAGCTTCACTTACTTCATCTGTGATTTCATGCATTTCTATGTATCGACGATTCTTTGACCGCACGGATTGCTCAGACATTGCGGACCACGCGCGGTGCGGCCGAAATGTTGCGAGAGCACGACTTGTACAATGGCGAATTTGCACTGGGGCAAGTGTTCCGCGGCGCGAGCTCCGCAGTGATCTCCAGTCTATGCGGCCAACAAATCGACGACGCCGTCAATGGTGCTCATCATAATTCAGACACTGACAACCATAAACCATTTCAAACGAGATAACATGGAAATAAATTTGTTTCCAACAATTGCTTATGTACACTCGATGTGATACTGAATGCGCAAGCGACATTTAAGTGAATTTAAATATGAGCAGTAAGAAGCTAAGTGATCAGCTCCTGGTTCAGTGCTTCAGCTTCTACTTTGGCGTTTCCATTGAAAAGTTGCACTGAAGCATGTTGCACAAGCAGTCAGCGTAAAAAATCGCATATAGGAGTGCTGCGGTGACGTCATCACGTTGTGAAAGAGAAAAGGAGCAGGACCCGACGACCGCGAAAAATGGAAAAATTCAAAATGTAGCGATGCGAGTATGACTACGCTATTCGAAAAAGCTAAATTGAAAGCAAGACTGTGACACATTCTGACATATCATATCGCACTGCCTTAAGCTGTCAAGGCGCTGTACGACTTCAGTATAACATTTTCGGCTAAACATGATAATTGTTCAAGTTTACCATAAACACCAAAAAATTTCTTATTCAAAATAAATGACGATTTTTATGATTTGCAAGTATTACAAAAAGGAACGTTGAGCATTGAAGAGACAAGCTTTTTCGCCCTTTGAAAATTAGGAAAAGGCATAAATTATGGTATTGATATCGCTCAGTTACAAAGAGGAATGCACATCGCCCATTCAAATTTTGAAACAAATTGCATCTATGCGTTTGAGTGGTTTGCAGCAATCAGCGCTTGCTGTTTCGTTTGGGATTTGGGGTCGTGGAGCTGATTACTAGAGCATAATCAATCAATGGGATTACTGCCTTTTCAAGGTGGTAACAAAGGGACAAAGGGTTTGAGCACGTACGTTGGACGGAGCTTTTGCGGACATTTCAACACGTTGATGAACTTGTAAAGCCTCTATGCAAAGCATTCTTTGTACTCTCTAAACTGCCACGTTTATATGCTGTTGTCACACGTGGCAGGTTTGCCGGCTAGAAATCATAAAAAACAAAGCCTTGTAGTAGAGGGTTAACATGTTCACCAACGTGTTGAAATGTCCGCAAAAGCTCCGCCCAACGTACTCCGGGGAGACGACTATAACTTGGAGAAGAGAAAACGATGCATTCGGTATTGTCCTCGCTTTTATATATGAAAGTCCTTGTGCTATTAATAACAGCTAAGAGCTTGTGTGAATGATTTTCAATGACAAACAGATAACAAACAAACAGATGATCCAACAACTTTTTCCTAAAAAACTCCACTTGACTCCTTTAGATAGGAGTATTGTCAACAACTGAATGACTCACATTGAAAAACGTAATCGGCTAAAAATCTGGCTGAAGGAAAAAGGTGTCTTCGAAATGCTCGCCATAATCAAATATTATATTTGGATGAAGAGAAGCAGAATGGAGTCTCCGAATCACGAAGCATACAGAAACACATGTGATCTAGTGGCCGTAAAGAAATGCCGATTATGTTTTCTGAAGTAAATCGTTCATTTGTTAACAAAACATTTATGTGAAGGAGCAAAGTGGTGTTTTTTTAGTGATGCAAAAAGATAGTGATCATTCATCTGTTTAGCGTCATTAAGAACCCTTTGAAAAAAAATATATTTAAATGTTTATCGAAAAAATATTTGCGATAAAAGATATTCTTTAGCACCATTTTCACAAAAATACCTTGAAGCATCGCAAAACTAAATTAATGGCAATTATATTGGGGTAATCTAATAATTGGTATGATAATAACAAAGGCTTAATCCCGTCAATTGGCAAAATCATCTAGAAGCTCCGGCATCGTAAAATTGTCATTTGACACACTTGGTCACAAGCAACGGACATACCCAAGTCACGAGTTGCGGGCTTAGTTTGAGGATTAACACAAGATTTTTGTTACGGTTAATGTCAGGAGATTTCTTTATCTAAATCTTCAAAGCTGATTGCATGTATAAGCTCCTGCAAGACGAAGGCGGTCGATTCAATGCGGAACGCGGCTGCGACATGGCTGCGTCACAGCCGAGTCACAGCCGCGTCACGGCCACGTCGTATTCCGAACCGACCGCCTTCGTCTTGCAGGAGCTTATAACAATTGAAGTACTCACATATAACTGATACGCGACTTTATTTATAAGTGGAAAAAAAGAGATTGCGTCCGTGTCGGTCACACGTTCTCATTTTCTAGCTCCAGATGCTGTGGCTTCTTCCACGAATATTTCTATCGAAACCACCGCGGTATGTTCTCAGCAAAAGTCATTACAGTCAACAAAACCCTATTTTGGAATCGCTTTTACTAAATAGAATACTGAGAAAAGGGATACAATATTGGTTTTCGGGATTATCGATTATGGGGATTCCGAATACAATATTGGTTTTCGGGATTATCGATTACCTTTATCGATTTTATCGATTTTTTGCAAAGTTTGAGCTAGGGGGCTGAGAGTTGGCACAGGGGGGTAATCGAGCATGGGGATTCCGAATACAATATTGGTTTTCGGGATTATCGATTACTTTTATCGATTTTATCGATTTTTTTGCAAAGTTTGAGCTAGGGGGCTGAGAGTTGGCACAGGGGGGTAATCGAGCATGGGGATTCCGAATACAATATTGGTTTTCGGGATTATTGATTACTTTTATCGATTTTATCGATTTTTTTGCAAAGTTTGAGCTAGGGGGCTGAGAGTTGGCACAGGGGGGTAATCGAGCATGCGGATTCCGAATACAATATTGGTTTTCGGGATTATTAATTACTTTTATCGATTTTATCGATTTTTTTGCAAAGTTTGAGCTAGGGGGCTAAGAGTTCGCACAGGGGGGTAGTCGAGCATGGGAATTCCGAATACAATATTGGTTTTCGGGATTATCGATTACTTTTATCGATTTTATCGATTTTTTTGCAAAGTTTGAGCTAGGGGGCTGAGAGTTCGCACAGAGGGGTAATCGAGCATGCGGATTCCGAATACAATATTGGTTTTCGGGATTATTGATTACTTTTATCGATTTTATCGATTTTTTTGCAAAGTTGAGCTAGGGGGCTGAGAGTTCGCACAGGGGGGTAATCGAGCATGGGAATTCCGAATACAATATTGGTTTTCGGGATTATCGATTACTTTTATCGATTTTATCGATTTTTTTGCAAAGTTTGAGCTAGGGGGCTGAGAGTTGGCACAGGGGGGTAATCGAGCATGCGGATTCCGAATACAATATTGGTTTTCGGGATTATTAATTACTTTTATCGATTTTATCGATTTTTTTTGCAAAGTTTGAGCTAGGGGGCTAAGAGTTCGCACAGGGGGGTAGTCGAGCATGGGAATTCCGAATACAATATTGGTTTTCGGGATTATCGATTACTTTTATCGATTTTATCGATTTTTTTGCAAAGTTTGAGCTAGGGGGCTGAGAGTTCGCACAGAGGGGTAATCGAGCATGCGGATTCCGAATACAATATTGGTTTTCGGGATTATTGATTACTTTTATCGATTTTATCGATTTTTTTGCAAAGTTGAGCTAGGGGGCTGAGAGTTCGCACAGGGGGGTAATCGAGCATGCGGATTCCGAATACAATATTGGTTTTCGGGATTATTAATTACTTTTATCGATTTTATCGATTTTTTTTGCAAAGTTTGAGCTAGGGGGCTAAGAGTTCGCACAGGGGGGTAGTCGAGCATGGGAATTCCGAATACAATATTGGTTTTCGGGATTATCGATTACTTTTATCGATTTTATCGATTTTTTTGCAAAGTTTGAGCTAGGGGGCTGAGAGTTCGCACAGAGGGGTAATCGAGCATGCGGATTCCGAATACAATATTGGTTTTCGGGATTATTGATTACTTTTATCGATTTTATCGATTTTTTTGCAAAGTTGAGCTAGGGGGCTGAGAGTTCGCACAGGGGGGTAATCGAGCATGGGAATTCCGAATACAATATTGGTTTTCGGGATTATCGATTACTTTTATCGATTTTATCGATTTTTTTGCAACGTTTGAGATAGGGGGCTGAGAGTTGGCACAGGGGGGTAATCGAGCATGGGGATTCCGAATACAATATTGGTTTTCGGGACTATCGATTACTTTGTCGATTTTATCGATTTTTTTTGCAAAGTTTGAGCTAGGGGGCTGAGAGTTCGCACAGGGGGGTAATCGAGCATGGGAATTCCGAATACAATATTGGTTTTCGGGATTATCGATTACTTTTATCGATTTTATCGATTTTTTTTTGCAAAGTTTGAGCTAGGGGGCTGAGAGTTGGCACAGGGGGGTAATCGAGCATGGGAATTCCGAATACAATATTGGTTTTCGGGATTATCGATTACTTTTATCGATTTTATCGATTTTTTTGCAAAGTTTGAGCTAGGGGGCTGAGAGTTGGCACAAGGGGGGTAATCGAGCATGGGGATTCCGAATACAATATTGGTTTTCGGGATTATCGATTACTTTTATCGATTTTATCGATTTTTTTGCAAAGTTTGAGCTAGGGGGCTGATAGTTGGCACAGGGGGGTAATCGAGCATGCGGATTCCGAATGCCATATTGGTTTTCGGGATTATCGATTACTTTTATCGATTTTATCGATTTTTTTGCAAAGTTTGAGCTAGGGGGCTGAGAGTTCGCACAGGGGGGTAATCGAGCATGCGGATTCCGAATACAATATTGGTTTTCGGGATTATTGATTACTTTTATCGATTTTATCGATTTTTTTGCAAAGTTGAGCTAGGGGGCTGAGAGTTCGCACAGGGGGGTAATCGAGCATGCGGATTCCGAATACAATATTGGTTTTCGGGATTATCGATTACTTTTATCGATTTTATCGATTTTTTTGCAAAGTTTGAGCTAGGGGGCTGAGAGTTGGCACAAGGGGGGTAATCGAGCATGGGGATTCCGAATACAATATTGGTTTTCGGGATTATCGATTACTTTTATCGATTTTATCGATTTTTTTGCAAAGTTTGAGCTAGGGGGCTGATAGTTGGCACAGGGGGGTAATCGAGCATGCGGATTCCGAATGCCATATTGGTTTTCGGGATTATCGATTACTTTTATCGATTTTATCGATTTTTTTGCAAAGTTTGAGCTAGGGGGCTGAGAGTTCGCACAGGGGGGTAATCGAGCATGCGGATTCCGAATACAATATTGGTTTTCGGGATTATTGATTACTTTTATCGATTTTATCGATTTTTTTGCAAAGTTGAGCTAGGGGGCTGAGAGTTCGCACAGGGGGGTAATCGAGCATGGGATTTCCGAATACAATATTGGTTTTCGGGGTTATCGATTACTTTTATCGATTTTATCGATTTTTTTGCAAAGTTTGAGCTAGGGGCTGAGAGTTGGCACAGGGGGGTAATCGAGCATGGGGATTCCGAATACAATATTGGTTTTCGGGATTATCGATTACTTTTATCGATTTTATCGATTTTTTTGCAAAGTTTGAGCTAGGGGCTGAGAGTTGGCACAGGGGGGTAATCGAGCATGGGGATTCCGAATACAATATTGGTTTTCGGGATTATCGATTACTTTTATCGATTTTATCGATTTTTTTGCAAAGTTTGAGTTAGGGGGCTGAGAGTTGGCACAGGGGGGTAATCGAGCATGGGGATTCCAAACACAATATTGGTTTTCGGGATTGGGTATCAACGTTAACGGCAAAAAAGAACCGCGGGATTGAACCCGAATCTGGCAACTGAGAGTCGCATCCCTTAGCCACCAGACCACCGGAACTACATTGCAGCATTGTGTTCATGCGCATCAATCGCCTTTCTTCGTCAAATTTCGATGAAAGGATTGATGTAGTGGAGGGGGGTGGCTCCACGAGCTCGCTTTGAATAAGGCGTAGGACAAGAAATATTGGGTGAGGTTTGCGTCCCAGTGTTTTTTCCCAAATCAAAAAATGGTTTGATGCTCAAATGTCCTTCTCTGCAAAAAATTCCTACTGTACCTTACGATTCTTTAATATGAAATGATATGGGGAGAAAAAATCAGCTGATTCAGCTCAAAATCAGCTGAAAGATGAACGCATAAGTCGATGTGTTTGTGAACTTTCCAAGCTGAAGATGGCAACGACGCCAAAAGATCAGCCCGAATTAAGATCATTACCAATCGTGGCTTAGGTTTAGAAGACAAGTATGCGATTGTTGAGTTTCCTATCCGAAAGAAATGAATGTAACTTTTAGGCAAAAGTTGCTGGCGTTAAGGTTTCTCTGAAGAAAACTGGAACAATTCGCTCTGGGGCTGTTTGGCGAGCTGTGCAAAACCCATCAAATTGTTTTTATTGGTGTTTTTCTCAATATCGAAATTATATTGCTGTGGTTGGTTTGGATATTTGATTTTTGTAAAGGAAGCACACAGTGACTGGTTATTATCAGATTTTCAACTAGTCTATGAAAAAATATCCATTGCTCATCCTCCACAGCAAGTGGATAATGTGGTGTACTGCATAGAGCAAGATAGTTTCAACGACTGATTATCACATTTTCGAATTGATCTACATAACTTCGAAAATGACATCCATGAGCATACTTTTTTGCAATCGTATATTCAGCGTGAAAAAACTGCAAATCTTTACCTTTCAGTTGGTCCATAAAAGGTGAAAATCCGCACAGTATTCATACGGGAGTTTCAGACTTATGCATTTGGTTATATGTTTGTACATGCATATAGGGGTACGGATCTATGCATTTAAAATGTGTTATATTCACCCCTGAAATATCAGGCCAGAAGTTAGTTTAGAGAAGGGTTGTTTAGTGGAGAAAACCTTGCCTATAAGCGTATACCCACGGAATTATAATGTGTGATTCTTTTTGATACCATTTATTGAAAGTTGAACAAAATTTCTAGGTATGGAGTCGCATGTCCTCCTCTTACGCTTGGCAGCTGCTCAGAATTGTTCTTGTTGAACAACAGATTCATAGAATTCGCCAGTTTTTGACGCTTACAGGTTTCGATCCGAATGGTATAACATCCCTTTTTTTGAAAGTTTTTTTGCACTCTCAAAGCGCCCCTTTTTACAGATTCCCTTGATTTATCCCCCCAAATTAACGCTTTACTGGACCTTCTCAGTAGATGGTCGTCGCAGCTGCACTATACCTTACAAATGTATCCTGGTGGTTGCCCCTTCAACCTGCTTCCGAACATGATTGTGGATACAAGCGATTCTTCCAGCTTTTTGAAGTATGCTTTGAAATAAACCAAGGATGTGTAGGTTTATAATCCTGTTCTTATAGAAAGTATGCAATGATCACAGAAGAAAATAACACTCCCTTTGAATTTGAGGATCCTCGAGTTGTTTCACTGAAGCGACTATGGTCGTATCTGGTCCATGAAGACCATCTCAAATATTCATTTATCCGTCATATATTCTCAGCGCAAAGCCAACAGGCATGTGTCAGGTTCCTAGTGGTGGTTATGCTTTCATCGTAGCAATATTCAGGAGCAGCTTGTGGAGCGCAGTGATATTCCAGCCGTTGAAGGCACTCAGCCTCTTCCAGGCGCTTTCAAGATCTTTCACAAAGACAGCGAACCAATTGTTGCTTTCGCCTGCAATCAAGTGAATTTTATGGTCTAAACTTTATAGTCTAGATTTCGCAACAATGAGAGTGAAAATCTCTCAAAAAAAGAACTACAAAGTAGGGAGGGGCGGAGGGGGTGGGGGTAATGGTACGAGGAGCCGTTGGTGAATGGGGCGGGGTGCGGTTTTCTTAGCAACCGCTACTTTGCGGACATGGTGAAGTATTAGATAAAGTGGGAGGATTAAGCACCAGTTTGTTAGCCCGCTAATCCAATGTAATGTAAAGGTTGACAAATTTTCATTAGTCTTCTCGACTATAGAAAAGCGTTCGATAAATATCTGCACAGCATGGCAATTTTAGAAATTTTGGCGGGGCTGGGCAAAGCAGAAAATGTTTCTTGAGTGTAGGGAGAGGTTTGGCATCAGCGCGTATTCCAGAGATTTTTTGTGGTGCCTACGATTTGTGTGCACCCTGGAATTTTGAAAACTCTGGAGTTTATCTTATGACGGAATTTTGGAAAGCGTAATTTGTGTGAATTCTAAGCTATTTTTTGAAATTTGCCAATTTGTGGGAGGGTTGTTCGTCACCGGTCCCTGCTGTAAATACGACGCCGATATTTACAGCCGCTGCTAGCCCGTTATTATAGAGTTGACTATCTCTATACACTTCAGGAGAAGCTCGGATGGTTGGTAGTTTCTACTGGAAGAGAGCTCCAGGAGTTGGACTTATCAGGTGTTTTTGAGAAATGGAGTGATACATCGTCTTGGTTGTACAATCGCACGGAATTGGACATCAGTCATATATCTATGTCTTTTTGAAAATGGTTCTGTTAAAAGGTTTTTAGGTGAGCCTTTCAACGGCTTATCGTGATTTGCTGAAGGAGAATGATGATTACCAGCTGGTTGCGGAAAATGCTCATGGGACTGAGAGTCCAGATAGCCCAAATACAGCCATGGTATGTGCTCAATTATAGTGTTCTCATATATCCTGTCATCGCTGATTGCCTAGAAAATCACTCCGTGGATTATTGATAGAAGTAGAATGGGAGTGCAGAAGGTGGGTATGAGGTGGTTGTGGACGTCTAGTTTTCGACTTCAGAATTCACTTCGAAATCTGAGAATTGCTTCCCCTAAGTGCTATAATTTGCAGATCTCAAAGCGGACGATTCAAGGCATACGAAAAATAGACTCCCATCCAACATCACCTTACTGTGAGTTGCTAAATCAATAACGGTTTTTTATTCAAAACAGGCGCTTTTGGATTATAGATGTGACTGGTTCTTTTGACGGCTCGATCAGGGTTTGGGAGTGGAATGCCGGACAACCCATATACACCGCCCGCGTCGCTGGCCAGCATGCCAAGGTGAATTTGATCAGCGCTTCTTTTCGTGTTCAGCATTTTCTTTAGGTTGCAAAGGTAACTTTCTCTTGTAACGGCAAGAAGTTCGCTGCTGTGGATGGAGATGGTCTACTGTGTCTATGGCAAGTCGACACGTCTACAGAGCACAGGAAGCCATTCTTCGTTAGTAATATTCTTTGTATTGTGCTTCCCAGAAGTTATGTGCTTTACAGAGTCAAAGATGTCACAGTAAATCAGCTTCGGATGTGAGATTTGTAGACCATAGCTCTACTGTTTTAATAACAGCGGGCAACTCCTCTGGAGACTCCAATCTTGCTTTGTGGGATACTCTGCTTTCTCAAAGTAGCGCTTTGGTTCATTCATGGGTAGCACATCCGGAAGGAGCCACAGCAGTCATGTACTTGCCCAGACAGCAAGTGAGCTCCTAATTTCAGTTTTCCATACTATTTGTCATGAAAACAGCTTTAAAGATTGCTGCGCGCAAACTTAGTACTTTTGTCCTTGCTACGGCTCATGGATGTGGAAATAGAGTTGAGTCTTTGACTTCCTTTTGTATTATCGGATGAGGAACCTGTATATCCCGAAAGATTTGCCGCCACCTAGTTAGAAAGTTAGTGAAGGTCATGAAGATTCAGCTACGCTGATCTGCACCCAGTCTGCATCTGGTACTAGCTGATTTTGCTTACAGTAATCACGCCCTCATCCTACAGTGTATGACGGAATCCTACTAAATTTCGGATTCAAGTTCAGTAGCGATTTTCGTTCGATTGGGATACACATTCGAATTTAATTGGATTTCTTTGTTTTGAATTCTAGACGCTTTCCACAAATTTTTTGCCAAACCTTCAAAATTGCGATTTGGAGATTTTAGATGATGCCTTCGAATGATGATGTCTTGCTCAAAGACAGTGGCTCCGATCGGCGACTTTGAAGTATTTGCTGCTCTTGATTGCCCCGGATGAGTTAAACGATTTTCGATCTTGAACAGTCAAGAACGATGAATACCCCAAAATCGTCAATTTGCCCGACCACTGCCTTCAAAACTTCAAAATCTTCTTCTTTTAACTTCCAACTTTTTCCATGGATTTTGCTGTAATTTTGGTAAATTTGGTATGGAGGTCTTGACATGCTGTTTCCAAAAATGTTTTTGGTTCTCGAAACCGCAAACGATTTTGTTTGGAATCTTTTGATTTTTTTTCACAAATTCCACTGCTAATTTGGTAAAGTTGACAAACAGAAAAAATTTGAGGCGTAGTAGATTGAGATGGTTTAGAGTTCGGCTAAATGTCTTGTTCCAGTGTTTTAGAGAGAAACATGAAAAACTGTATTGCTCAAAAAATTTCGGAAATCTGGAACTGAAATTGGCATTGAATGAGAATCTATTGAATTTATGACCAGACTCTGGCGCGTCAGTTTGCTCGTCAATATCCGGTTCTCTTTTAATCATGGACTTTTTGAAGGACAGCGGCTGATGTTTCAGTGCTTGATCTCAATTCATATTTTGAATGCTGTTGTCGGGAGTTTCGCTATTTCTCATACTTGGGATCACCGGCGATTATCAGAAAAGCGCTTCATTTGATTTTCGGTCTTGAACATCAGTAAAAATAGGCTTTATTCTGAATAACTTACCGCAAATTTCAGACGATCGTGTCCAGCGGTCGATACGGCGAATTATGCTTATGGGACATACGCAAATGTCAGCTGCGTGAAACCGTGAGAGCTTTTGACTCACATGAGGTCGTTAACGCTTTAGTTACTGACCCCACGCAAAATTTGATTGTAGCGGGGTCAAGTGACGGCAATGTAAAAGTAAGTACATTTAGGCAAAAAAAGAAATGTGAACTTTGATTATGGCTTGTTCTAGATATGGTCTGCTGACGTGGACTTACAGTTGATGCATTGCTTTTCCGGCGAACATGTTGCGAAAAGTGGATTCTCTCTTAGACAAGGTCCGTTGATACTCAAAATTACAACAGTTTCCTGTTTAACGCTTTTCGTGGTAAAAATCATGTGATTTCAGTTGCGCAGTTGACATTGCAAGGTGTACAGCAACTATACATTGACCAAGAACTTCGACTTTTCTCCTCCGGTGCAGACGGGTGTCTAAAGTTCCGAGCCCTGCAACATTATATCACATAAATAAGGCGTCTTAGTGTTAGGTCTTGATTTTCAGTGTATAAGAGGATGTCATGCGGTAGAAATCAACAAGGTCAAGTAAATCTCGGTTGAATTTTTGTTGTTTCTCCCGAAATTCCCTAGTCCATGTGTGATCTTAGTCTCTCGTATCCTTTCTTTGTAGTTTTTACGAGAACCGGTTCACGTGCAGTCTGAAAATCGTCATGTCATTTTTACTGTTTCTGAATGTAGCAGACTTTCAATAAAGTCGAAAACCGTAGTGTGTTTGAAATGCACAAATGAAATCAAATATCGTAGGGTGAGTGGTTTCCAAGTTTCCTCCCTTCTTAACCTCGGCATTTTTAGTATATTGTGAGTAGGTTAGTAAGCCGATCGAGGTTTAGTAGATTTATTAGTAAGTGGCGGTCTAACGTTTCGAACTATTCGTCTTCTTCAGAGGCCTAAAGTGGTAGGAGATTTATGATTTAATGTCTATCCCACCAAAAACCTCCTCCACCCCCGGCTAGCCTCGATTTGCCCCAAAATGCTACAAAACAAAATCCTATAACGTGAAAGACGAACTAACCTCCTCCACCGCCGGCGCGCATTTCGAATTTGGAGGAGGATTAAGAACGGCTCGAGATCGATTTGTGCTTCTATTCGATCTGAAGTCAAATCCAGATTTTGTGCCGAGTACGACAAGCTTTGAAGTGCCACTCACAAAAATTCAGGTAACGCTGAGAGCAGCTTACCTTCATTTCACGGCTTTGTTGATTCTTCAACTCAAAATGGAAATTCCACTGAATTGACTAGAGTCACGGTGATTGGCGATACTCATATCTCTGATAACGCGCTTGGATTTCTTAGTCTAAGTCCTTCATTTTCTATTGTTCGGAAAGTGGATGGGTCTGTTTTTCGTAAGGTTGTTGGTGGTTTACACAGACTCCGAGACCAACTGAGAACAAGGACTAGACTTGAAGACAATCACCAAATCTACGGAATGCTCAAAAATCGCAACCAGCACGATTACTTCCACCCATTCCTCTTCCAAGTTTGTTTTATAAAGAAACTCAGCCTACGGCTGAAGCTGATGTCAAGTTTAAGATTCTATCTGCTGGAGTGCTAAATGCCTACAGTCATCAGGCAAAACATCCACAACCGACCAACTTGACTCAGTCACAATGGCTTGGTTGCAAAGAAATACGTGATTTAGTCTCTAGTGGCGCTGCACGCATCTCAGTAAGCGATAAGGGAGGCGAATTTGTGATTCTTCCATGGATCTTGGACCGGAAAAATCACAGAGCTTCACCTTACTAACATAACGATTTATCATCGGGTGACTGAGAGAGAATTTCAAGCACAATACAAGCGACTAAATCATGTTTGGATGGATGTAGGAAGAACAGCTGGCCTTCCCGAGAGCTTTCTTAGCAGATTGAAATTAGAAACACCACAGTGCCCATCTTTTACAGCATTGTTAAGAATCACAAAATACCCGCTACTGATGACGCGCGCTTTTTGACAGCAGAACAGTTGAAAATTAGACCGATCAAAAGTTGTGTGGGAGGATCAACTGACCGAATTTCCTGGTTCTTGAATAAAATTGTCAATCAGCTACTGGACAAAGTCCCGTCTCATCCAGCCAACACGAATCACTTCCTGGAACTCCTACGTAACACCAATTTGCAAACGCATTGTGTAGCTGAATCTTTTGACGTAGTGTCATTGTACACGAACGTTCAAAATGACGACGCTCTGAGGGCAGTTTCGGAAATGTTGAGTAACTTTGGGAGAAAATCCAGACTTTCGGGCTGAGTGAACGATCGGTTATGCTCCTGAATGAAGAGTGTCTCTCTTGTAACATCTTCAGATGGTCAGGGACAGACTATACTCAGCTGAGAGGTCTTGCGATGGGACAAAGACTTGCTCCAGTACTTGCGGTCTGCTTCATGAGTAGAATAGAAGAGCCATTGCTGTCGCGTCTAACTCTAATGTACTGTCGTTACATAGACGACTGTTGCGTTATAACCAGGGTCAAGCGTGTTTATGCAATCCTGGACCCTCATTTATGACCCCCCCTTGAAGGTACCCATCCATACGACCCCCCCCCCCCCTCCCCCCTCCTTCCCTCTCCCCCATCTGTCCCCCTTACCTCCCCTGCCCACATTTCTCGCGGTAACCTGCATAAACGAATGTCAATCTCAAAAAACACCTGCGTGAGAACTTCAGTGAGGTTTCGGAAGCAGAATTTCTAGGCCAGTGGTGCGCCCAGCATCTCTAGCACATATACACACCTTCAATAATGTTTGAGATTCTGCAAGTTTTTTTTTAGAATTTCCAGGCATACTTCAGGCCAGCAAATTCGATTCCCTTATGCGACACAAATTTTTACACGGAGAACAAAATGACATTCTTGAACTACAAAAGATGTTTTCGACTAAGAAGCTTACTTCTTACCTCTTGCACAGTTTTTCCTGCAAAAAAACCGCTTTAGCGCCATCCAGAACGACGTCAAAAACGTGCATGAGCACGGTAGTTTGAAAATTCGTAACTAAGACCAGGAAAAGACTGAAAGGCTGCAAAGAACAGGTTCCGTAGCATAGTGCCCAGACTATTCATAGAAAAAGTTTCAGTCCTTGAGGAGCAGTGAGCTCGAAAAAATTTAAATCAGGATCTCGGAAATTTAGTTGCGATCCTAAAAAGCAAAAACTGGGATTTTTGAGCTTAAAATTTTGTAACTTACCAGCGAAGTTATAAAACAGCCTGAAATTCTTATGATAAAAACTAGAGGGATGGTCTCGTATTACAGCAAGTTTGCAGCTAACAAGCTTCAGTAGCTCCGGAGAAATTTAGATCAGGCGCAGATACGACCCCCCCCCTTTTCTCATTTTTTGCTACCATACATAAAATCATAAAAAAATCCGCAGTTTATAAAATAACACCAGATTTCGCACAGCAGTAGCAGGGCTCATCTAAAGTACATATAAATTGTAAGGGCCGCATAAATTGCATTACAAAAAGATTTACGAATTATTGATTGTCATCGTTGATCTACATGTGCGCTTTTGTCGAGTGTGCGAGTCTTCAGTGAGCCTTCGGAAGCGGGATGTCTACATCAATCGGTACATCCAACATCTTTATCACACATACATGCCTTTAGTAGCATTTGAACTTCTGAAAGTGTTTATTTTTTAGATTTTAGTCATGCCAGCAGGGTTCGGTCCTTTTGGGACAATATTTTGCGGGAGAAATAGCGATTCCCATAAAAAAGAACTAAGTCATAATTTTCAAAAGTGCAGCAAATGAAGCGAATTTCTACGCTTGCAAATGTTTTCAAATTATTGTTCACTCGTTTTTATTTGATACATTGGTACACGGCATTCCATGAATTTATTGTTAAGAACATGTAAAAATTATTTGCTTTGATTTGCTTTCAATCGTACGGTTTTCTATCCAAACTACCCCCTCTTACGGTCCCCTCCCTCACCATGGGCCCTCTTTACGACCCCCCGTTGCGACAGTCGCATTACACGCTTGACCCTGGTTATAACATCAACACAATCCGAAATGGATGAGTGTTTCCGATTACTCAACCAACAGTCGCAGTACATAAAGTTTACACGGTAGCAACCGAAAAATGGTTGGCTTCCTTACCTCAATGTACAAATCCAACTGTTCAACGGCGCTGCGAAAGTAAAACGGTATCGCAAAGAGAGTTCCAAGAACATCTTGGTTAATGTCCGTTCCGCACATCCGATTACTGTTAAAAGAGCTGTTATTCGTAGCAAGCTCAAGACAGCAACGAACGTATGCACAGGAGAAGAAGAACGGAAGGAGTCGCAAAGATTAGCGTTGGGTATTGCTCGAATGAATGGCTACACGTTCCGAAAAGGACGTAGTAGACCATCTATTTCCATCAACAGCAACCAGCACCAATAGAAAATACCTCTCTGTCTTCCTTTCGTCTCTGACGCGACTAGTGCTATAGTGCGACGATGCATTAAACACGCGAACCTCGAAAACGATGTCATTTTGATCAATATTCCAAGTGACAACATTAGGAAGCGGTTAGTACGAAACAGTTGTACGAAAACTACTGCAGATTCCAAGACTGCGTAGTTTGTCCAACCGGTAAAGTTGGTAACTGCGGTAAGACGGGTGTGATCTATCAGATCGAATGCATGGAGTGCAGCGCCACTTATATCGGAGAAACTGGGAGACCGATGGGAGTAAGAATAAAAGAACATCTTGCCAGCAAAAGGCGAGGAAGCCTTACCACTCCTCTCGGTAAACATAAAGTTGAAGTTCACGGTGGTAAGGACTTCCGGGGATGTGTAATACTGGCATACGAATACGATACTGCCGTTAGAAAGGCTCCCGAGGCGTTCTGGATTTTCGCAAGAAATCCTAGCATGAACAGCCGAAATGAGTGTATTTCAGTCACAAATGACTTTATGCCATTCGTGACGTTATGTGAGTTGAAGAAGGCCACTGATTGGTTCGAAGATGGTATACAGTGTATACCATTATTGGTATCAGTGGCACTGAAGAACAGCCGCCTTCAAATCTGCGCGCCGGCGGTGGAGGAGGTTAGTTCGTCTTTCACGTTATAGCATTTTGGTTTGTAGCCTTCTGGGGCAAATCGAGGCTAGCCGGGGATGGAGGAGGTTTTTGGTGGGATAGACATTAAATCATAAACCTATCACTTTAGGCCTCTGAAGAAGACGAATAGTTCGAAACGTTAGGCCGCCACTTACTAATAAATCTACTAACCCTCGATTGGCTTACTAACCTATTCACATCATAGGGTGAGTTCTCCAAGATCCAAATGTTAGGTTGTCCCGAAAGTTTTGTCCGTTTTTTCATCGCTCAATAAAACTCACAGAACATCAATCCACGGACGAATTATACCATTTTTTTCAGATTTTTATCCTCTTTCTTACAGCTATATTTGCTCTTCGATCTGTCCTGTCTTTGCAATGTTATCGCCATGGCTTTTTGAGCAGTTTAGCAGTAACGCTAGATCTTTCCTGAATTCTAACAATTTTTATCCTGATGATTTCAAAGAGCGCTGATAATCGTTATGTAGAGCAAACCTTTGACTACATTGCATTTATCTTAGATTATATGGGCCACGTTTACAGTCCGTTATATTTATTTATCTGATAGAAATCACGACCTTTTAATTACGTTTACCACGAAAATTTCATAACGATGCTTTTTTTAACGAATCAAATTTGATTATGTTGCATAAGTA